AATTCGGAAAAAGATACTGCTGCAGGTGTCCAGCACATGTTTCATACAACACGTAGTGGCAACAATGATCCAAAAGCATACAACAATACAGCCATACGATCAGTTCGCAGTCAGTCATGCGGGAGACATCCGGGCCAGGGCAGCGCCACCGACGGCAGACAGGAGCAGGGCCCAGGTAAGGAACATATGACAGATGGACCTTATTATGTGACTTGATTATTAAAAGAGAATCTCCAGCATTATGGTTTTTGTCACATTGCATCTAGCAGTTTCAAGCTCCCAACTTTGTTTCCGCCTAAAATGCTGCGACAAGTCTGATCTCTTGAGAAGCAGCCAGCGAAATGAAGGTGCATGAAAAAATCTGTCGCACTGTTAGCCATCGATGCATTTTCAAAATTCTCGCATATGCTTCCTCAATGACCCAAAATGCCTACCCACTCGTGGAATTTTGCCTCTCCAGGAAAGACCATGTTAAAATCGACGAATAATCTAGGGGAGCTGGATAGCCCTATTTGGCAAATGACAGATGAGTCGAATAGGCAATGTTGTGCACAGGTGAGAAACAACTGTAGATGCATATCTAGCACAGCAGCCATGACATTTGAATAAAGAGAGATAACAACCTCCATCCCTACCCCTCCCGGGTCATCGGGCTCGCTTTCCAGAAAAAGTTCCTGAAGCACGCCCTGAACTTGCCCCCCCCCCAACTTTTTGAAACGTCCTTACGCCTATGGGAAAGGCCATCACCAGAGGCGACAGAAAAGATGGATAGTGCAAGAGGGCAGCCTGTGCTCTCTGGAAATATCGGCATGCCTGTACGCACGGAGGCGTCAATGTGCCACTGTCATCAGTGTCGGGGAATCAGTGCGGGCATGTTCGGAGGCTCAGCGGGCGGTCTGCGCTTTTAGTTGGAATGTGTGCACACCTAATATTTGGTAAGAATAACAACGCACGCAGATTATATTACGCTTGACGGATTTGATTATTTGTAGACTTCATAGCATTGTATCGGGAAGTGTGATTGAAGGTGTGTGAGCAAATGTGTATTCCTGCCACTTATGTACTAATTTTGACGAATATCAGCCGCTGAAGTTGAAGAGGGTTCAAAACTCATCTGAACAGGCGAATTCATTGAAAGAATCGGTTCTGACTTAACGGTCTCAACAATCTTGAGAGGCCACTTGACCTTGCATGAGGTCCCTACAACCGCATCAATCTGGAGCAACACTGAAATCGCGAGAAACCGAAAACCAAACTGGTGAAAAAATATTGTCACCATTTGACAACATAACCTCCTGACTTGAGTGGTCGTTGGTCACGAGACCTACCCTCACGCCAGTCATTACGATCTACCACCCCACGGACCGCAGGTCATGACAAACCGCTGTTACCCGTGTGCCAGGCACCGCTCTGGGCTCACCTCTCGTGCTCAGTGCAGGGAAAAGGTACTTGCCAATTAACGCGAACCGAGTTGAAGCATTTTTAGGTAATAATCACCGAAAGTTTATGCAACTTTCACTGTGTGAAACGCACAACGCTAAGTTCAATAGGACATTCTAGACGAGTGTTTATTAACACCCGTGTTCTTACTAACGTAGAAAACACGACAGGACACGGATCACTAACATCGTCTCCAGGATCGGTCACAGGACCGGTCCACGCAGCTCACTCATCAGTCGAATGAATCGACGGTCAAGACTACATTCACGTGTTAAACAAGCATGGTAGCTATGTGGACGTTCTTCAGCCCTATGCGAGCTAAATATATTTCCTGGGCGTGTGTACAACTTACGCAATCATATCGATCCTCATCTAGTAGAAAAACAGGTAATTAACGAAATTCACTGCGGTAACAAATCAACCAGATGCTAGGGGTTACAAGTGACCACGAACATTGCACGCATGGCCTCTGTCGAGGAGCAGGTGACAACCTGTTACTCGGCATACCCACACTTGTTAGTTGAGGGCATACAAAGCAATTCACTTTAAGCCTAGTAAGTGATATCTGCCACGAGCGTCTGAACCAGCCTCGTGCGGCTTCCCCTTAAACCGACACGTAGTGGCTTACAGCGTACACACTATACAGAAACGATATTTCTTCCCAGCAAGGAAACAAAGGAAATGCAACTGTGCAAAGGTGGCCAACAGCGGGCGAGTAAGGATGTTCAGTGAACATTTACAGACAGGACAAAGCACAAACCACTTACTCACAACGACCCTGAGATAAACCTATCTCCTTTGGCTGGAAGTAATGCCACTCACCAATTTCGTGACCAAACAGGTGCCATATCACACGTGTCGTTTGTCAAGTTATCATGTCATTGTACTTCTCTTCATTGTCTTCCGACAAGGGAAGAGCCCCAAATTGACTATACCTTGCCAGAAACGTCACCACCTACACACCATAAGACGCAAACCGTATGTCTCTCAAAAGGAGCAACAGCTTACACAAGTTTTGAACATACAAATCCGTCGGGATTGCTCGCACGTGGGGCGCAGTGCCGTCATTTGTCAGTGTCCTTGCTCGTCGACTACGAGCGAGTATATTACAGGCAATACGAGTTGCTAGAGTAGTCCAGAAGCACAATACCGTCCCATACACTGGTCGGTCGCGCCGTCTGATGACATACTGCGGGTACTGCATGTTCTCTCTAGCAGTAGCCATCGAACACCGGAGGACGTGAGACGCATCCGCGAAACGCAACTCCCACCATCTTGTCTGTATGTAGCCCATTCAGCAGACGCTCCGGCCTGAGGGCAATGGGCTGCACCCGCAGGGAGATTGGGGAGAAAACAATGCTGTATCCCAATCCTGACCCGTGCCCTCTTCTTCTTGGCCGGCATCTTATGGCGTCGTCGAATACCCACACTGGTCGCTGCTAGCAGACGAGTCAGCTTGTGTTTCCAAGGGACGCCCACCTCGTCCCAACGCGGGCGCAGTGCGCCGTGATCGCCGCGGGTCGGCCGCTGATAACATTGCCGAAGTGTCAGCGTCCTCAGAGATTGTTGACGCTGAGGATCTGGTTGAATCAGCCCGATGAGGAGGACACCCTTGACGTAAACGCCGGGTACGTCCTTGCCGGGCCGCACCCGAAGCCCTGCCGGGCGTCCAGCGCTACGGGTCCTGTGACCGTCCTAGAACAGACCCGCGCTTGCCATGGCATATGACCGTTGCCTAGTTACACCGCACTGGCCCATGGCATGTGGCGTCCCTAGAGTAACACCAACCGCGCTGCCATGGCATGTGGCGTCCCTACGTGACAACCGCGCTGCCATGACATGTGACGTCCTAGTAACAACTCCGCTGATGCTCATGGCATGTGTTACATCCTATAAACAACCGCGCTTGCCATAGCATGTGACTCCTGATAACAACCCGCGATGCCATGCATTTGTGACGTCCCCTAGTAACAACCGCGCTGCCATGGAATGTGACCCGTCCTAGTAACACCACCGCGCTGGCCATATCATGTGGACGTCTGCCTGATAACAAACAGTGATGCACGGCATGGACGTCTCAGTAACACCACCGCGCTGCATGACCTGTGACGTCCCTAGTAAACAACCGCGCTGCCATCGCATGTGACGTCCTATAACGACCGCGATGCCATGGCATGCGACGTCCTAGTAACAACCGCGCTGCCATGGCATGCGACGTCCTAGTAACAACCGTGCTGCCAGCATGTGACGTCCTAGTAACAACCGCGCTGCCATGGCATGTGACGTCCTAGTAACAACCGCGCTGCCATGGCATGTGACGTCCTAGTAACAACCGTGCTGCCATAGCATGTGACGTCCTAGTAACAACCGCGCTGCCATGGAATGTGACGTCCTAGTAACAACCGCGATGCCATGGCATGCGACGTCCTAATAACAACCGCGATGCCATGGCATGTGACGTCCTAGTAACAACCGCGCTGCCATAGCATGTGACGTCCTGATAACGACCGCGATGCCATGGCATGCGACGTCCTAGTAACAACCGCGCTGCCATGGAATGTGACGTCCTACTAACAACCGTGCTGCCATAGCATGTGAGTCCTATAACAACCGCGCTGCCATAGCATGTGACGTCCTAGTAACAACCGCGCTGCCATAGCATGTGACGTCCTGATAACAACCGCGCTGCATGGCATGTGCCGTCCTAGTAATAACCGCGCTGGCATCGCATGTGACGTCCTAGTAACAACCGCGCTGCCATAGCATGCGACGTCCTAGTAACAACCGTGCTGCCATGGCATGTGACGTCCTAGTAACAACCGTGCTGCCCATAGCATGTGACCTCCTAATAACAACCGCGCTGCCATAGCATGTGACGTCCTAGTAACAACCGCGCCTTGCCATGGCATGTGACGTCCTAGTAACAACCGCGCTGCCATCGCATGTGACGTCCTGATAACGACCGCGCTGCCATGGCATGTGACGTCCTAGTAACAACCGCGCTGCCATGGCATGTGTCGCCCTAGTAACGACCGCGGTGCCATGGCGTGGGTGGTCCCGCCACGCCTGCAGATTTCACTGACGTCTCGTGCTAGCGTCACATGTAACTTGACCACCGGCTGTGCCAGCTTTAACCTCCGTAACGCGGATGTGGGCACATGAGCGAATTAACTCTTTTGCATGATCGTAGATATAATAAACCAGGAATGCTGGGTGTGAGACCAACTCAACCGCTTTGGTAGAATTCTACGAAATGGCTACAAAAACACAGTGATGCAGGTGCGTCACCCGACATCCATACAGTAAGTAGACTGCCCATGGGCCCCAAGGGCCATTAGACATTACACATTCTTGACGTTACGCGTTCTAGACGTTGAGTCCTTACCCAGCTGACCATGCCGGACAGCTCATAGTAGCCGTCCACGTTGCACACAAGAGGACCTCCTCCGTCGCCCTGGAACGGCGTCAACTGACCGTTAGCTATGTGACATGCATGCTAGTGATTTTCAAACGAAGTCCACGCGGCTGGCGCACCATATTGCATTGACGAAATGGCTGCCGTTTGCCAGTATCGAATGTGTCGACTAACACTACATGCAGTTATCGAACAAGTCGATTTGACAAAACTGTCATTACGTCATCCTCCAGCTTGACTACAGCTCACTACGGGCAGCAGGCTGAGAAGGCACACGCCTGTCAGCGGCCCGGACGGGCGCGGCAACATCACCTTCCCGCTGACACTGACCTGGCAGGCATCGTTGCCCTCCTCACCACCAGCGCAGAAACTGGAGGCTGGCAGGATGAAGATCTTCTCTGTGACGGCGTTGATCTTGCGCACACACTCATTGTCAGAGACGATGGGCAGCTCTGCGGCCCGCACCCTCAGCGGAATCGGCCCAGCTGGGGAAAGTTAGGTCGACCGTCAGGAGGCGCCAACAAAGGCAGAAACGACTGGCCGTCACCACCATCTACCCGCTTGAATGCTAGCCACAACGCAATCAATGCTTTGTTTAAACGCTGGATGAGCATGCCACAAATTGAAAACCTCAAAAGAGTCATGTTTTCCCGCGATGCAGCTACAACTGCTCATACGATGGACTCAACGCTGATGCCTCAGTATACCGATAGATGGGCAATGCAGTCTGCTGCCAACGGCTCGCCGTTGTCACAGAAGGCGGCCCTCACTTTCGCCTTGGTAGCCGTAGCCGGAGACGGTGCAGCGGTTGCCGGCCTGCTGCTCCACGCCACGCGCCGGTAAGCACACCAGGCAGACGCCCTCCTTCAGCTCCACCTGAGACGGCGGGGCGGACGGGGTCCCGCCAAGGTCAGGACGCCGGCGTGGGGTGGACGCTTGACAGGCTCAGCGCTAGCAATGCAGGACAGACTGGGTTCGTGTCAGAAATCGAAGGCTGGATCAGAATCCAGATGCTCACACGCACCAGCATCAAAAGGAAAAGGAGAGCTGACTGGTGCGCTGAGGGTGGAGCTGAAGTCAGGTCCAGAGGCTCACACGCACCAGTATCAAAAGGAAGAGGAGAGGTGACTGGTGCGTTGAAGGTGGAGCTGAAATCAGAGTCCGGAGGCTCACACGCGCCAGTATCAAAAGGAAAAGGAGAGCTGACTGGCGCGCTGAGGGTGGAGCTGAAGTCAGGTCCAGAGGCTCACACGCACCAGTATCAAAAAGGAGAGGAGAGGTGACTGGTGCGCTGAGGGTGGAGCTGAAGTCAGAGTCCAGAGGCTCACACGCACCAGAATCAAAAGGAAGAGGAGAGGTGACTGGCGCGCTGAGGGTGGAGCTGAAGTCAGAGTCCAGAGGCTCACACGCACCAGAATTAAAAGGAAGAGGAGAGGTGACTGGTGCGCTGAGGGTGGAGCTGAAGTCAGAGCCCAGAGGCTCACACGCGCCAGTATCAAAAGGAAAAGGAGAGGTGACTGCACACAATAAGCGTCACGAATGCGCCTGGCATAGCGCGGAGCTTCAAACAGGCTACAATGTTACAACAGATTTGCTCACAGAGGGCAGTAAGCGACTCTCCTCAGACATTGCACGAATAGCTCAAGCTGACATATGCTGGCAGCCGACTCGATGAGGAGAGTTGAGATAAGCGACAGTGACTCGCTCCCTGCTCCACTCACCAGTGAGACCATCGGCCGTGCTCACCTGTCCGTGCAGCTTGAGCAGCGCGATGTCGTTGTCCAGCGTCTGCGAGTTGTGGTTGTGATGGATGTAGGTGGTGGACACACGCAGCGTCTGCGCGCCCAGCGAGCCGTACTTGGAGGTTAGGTCGTGGTCCCCCACGCGCACGTAGATGGCGTCACCGGATCGAACGATGCTGAGGCGGGGATGACCACGCGGCCGGTCAGAGATGGCCCAGTAGCCTCGAGGTCGTGGGTTCAAAACTCACCGTCGGTCGCGCTACGACATTTCCACCGCGATTAACTTGGGCATATGCGACGCTTTTGACCAGATACAATAACGAATGCAAACACCGAAGCCAACAGTGGTGCCGATGCAAACTGAAGAAGTGTCATGAACCACCACGACTTCCTGTGATGCGCTGCTTGCAGAGGGCGAACCTTGGAAAAGTAACACAATCGCATAACAGCAATCTATCAAGCGGCATCAGCAGCAGAGTTCAGCCTCCGCACCATCTCAGCGGCCACCTGACACCGCCTGACTTACTTAGTGACGCAGTGGGCGGCAGTGAGCACCCACTGGGTGCCAATGAGCGCGCCGCCGCACAGGTACTGGTTCAGCGAGTTGATGAGCGCCACGTGGCCAGCACCACTCGCCCGGCGCCGCGTCCTGTCCGCCCACGACGCGGCCGCGCCGACCCGGCGGCCCCTTCACGCCGCACACGTACTTGTTCTTGTGCACGGGCAGCGGCGGCTCGGGCGCCGGCGTCGTCTGATAGATCTGGATGTGCCCGCCCGGGCCGTCTGCGGAGGGGCGGGGGGGGGGGGGACGTCAGGGGAAGCGGGGCGCAAACTCAACAGGGGCAGGCCCCGTGCCCAGTTGAGTTAAGGACTGGACGCGCGATGGCGGACGAACGTGAAATCGGTTGCGAAATTGTGAGCAGCTGCTCCCGCTTGAAAGCACCTTGCCGGAATACAATTGACATACGGAGGCTTGGCCACGGGTCCGCCTTTGAGCCCTGGGTTAGCACGGAACACAATGCGACATAGTCAGCTCATTGCAGCAGCCATAATCCCAATCTGAGCACAATCCGTGTGTTATGTGTGGTGCGACACGCGGCCCGACAGTGCGTGTCTCCTCCCAGTTTGGATAGCTGACAGTGCGTGTCTCCTCCCGTTTTGAATAACTGACAGTGCGTGTCTCCTCCTGTTTTGGATAGTCAACAGTGCGTGTCTTCTTCCGTATAGCTGACAGTGTGTGTCTCCTCCCGTTTTGAATAACTGACAGTGTGTGTCTCCTCCCGGTTTGGATAGCTGACCCATGCGAGACGGTACGCGGCCCAACAGTGCATGTCTCTCCCCGGTTTAGATAGCTGACAGTGCGCGTCTCCCCCGGTTTGGATAGCTGACAGTGCGTGTCTCCTCCCGGTTTGGAAAGCTGTCAGTGCGGTGTCTCCTCCAGTTAGGATAGATAACAGTGCGTGTCTCCTCCCAGTTTGGATAGCTGACAGTGCGTGTCTCCTCCCGTTTGGGATAGCTGATTAGTGAATGTCTCCTCCCGGTTTGGAAAGCTGACACCTGACAATGTCTCCTGACAGTGCGTGTCTCCTCCCGTTTTGGATAGCTTGACAGTGCGTGTCTCCTCTCAGTTTGGATAGATGACAGTGCGTGTCTCCTCTCGTTTTGGATTGCTGACAGTGCGTGTCTCCTCCCGTTTTGGATAGATGACAGTGCGTCTCCTCCCGTTTTGGATAGCTGACAGCGCGTGTCTCCCCCGGTTTAGATAGCTGACAGTGCGCGTCTCCCCCCCGGTTTGGATAGCTGACAGTGCGCGTCTCTTCCCAGTTTGGATAGCTGACCTATACGGGACGGCAGGCCGGGCTGTTGGTTGCCGACGAACTCCGGCGGCTGCTGCTGCTCATATTCGCCGGCTGGCGGCGGGTTGGTCGCTCCTGCCCGTATTCTTGGTTACTCCGGCTGGTATTCCGGCTGGTACTCAGGCTGGTACTCGGGCTGGTACTCAGGCTGGTACTCGGGCTGGTACTCGCCGTGCGGCGGTACGAAGGGCGGGCGGCCGCCGTACTGCTCGTTGTCGGGGTACGTCGGGTACTCGTTGTTGTACTCGTTGGCCGCGTTGTAGTACTGCTGATCGCGTAGTCTGCGGATGGCTGACTTCTTGGCACAGCACTGTTCCTTCTTGGAGCCGCAGCGGAACAGGTCCGTCATCTCGGCGCTTCCTGCGGTGAGCAGAACAGACAATGCTCACCTACGTCCACCCAGTGTCATCTCCAAACACGCGATGTATCTTTTACATGAATAGAGCACGCAAGACATGATATGGCAACACAAAGGATCTCCCGAGATTTGGTCTAAAATGGTCTATGAATGGCTTAACGGTTGTGAAATTAACAGGGCTGTGCAACTTAAGGGACAACTTGGCAGTTCAGCAACATTTTATAGAAAAAAGAAGTGGTGAGTCGATCTTTAAGCAGTCGAAGTAGAGCTACCGTGCATCACGTAAAGCGCGACGGGCAGCTTGCTATGCATAATTCCAGACACAGGCCAACCCGCAGTAATCGAGTCGCCCTCCCACAGGTCTTACCGAAGCAGGTGAACGAGAGGAACGGTCCGATGCAGGTGTCCGGACACAATGGCCGCGGGTCGACCGGCACAGGCGGCGGCGGCGGCGGCCTTCCTCGGGGCGGCGGCGGCCGGCGGTTCGCGTCGACCCGCTCTGGCGCCGGCACAGCCGGGAACCGTTGCGGCGCCGCCGGCCGGTTGGCGCCGGCGCCGAGCAGCGCCGGCAGCACGGCCTGCACCAGTCCGCTGGCGCCGCCGCCGCCACCGCCACCGCCAGCGCCGCCGCCCAGCAGTGAGGCGGCCAGCGGCGCCAGCGAGCCGAGCAGGCCGCCACCGCCGCCGCCGCCGCCGCCGGCCGCCGCGCCCAGCGCCTGGTTGAGGATGGCGCCGATGGGCGAGGCGCCCGGCGGCCGCGGCGGCCGCGCCGGGCTGGCAGCACCCGCCTCCTGTTTGTCGGCTCCCTCTCGATTGTCGCAGCAGACCTGGCCGCTGGTGCAGCCGCGGTTGTTGGGCAGCAGGCGCGACGGCGCGTTGCAGTATGCCTTCATGAGGCCCGGCATGCAGACGCCTGGGCACTTCTCGGTCGGCGCGCCGGCCGGCTTGGCCGTGGTGGCCTGAGTCTTGTCGGGCCGTGAGCGCGACAGGCAGCAGCGGCCTCCGTTGCCGCACTTGACGCTACTGTCCACGCGGTCACATAGGTAGGAGAACAGCCCCGTCACACACTGGCCGGCGCACTTCTTCTGCTCGGGGATTTCGATACCAGCGCTTGATGCTGAAACGGGGGCACGACAGAACAAAGATCAGCGATCAGGGAGGCCATTGTTGATACCTAACGTTAAGGCAAGATCACTGTTTGAACGTGGCGGCATTATCACTAACATCCATTTCTGGCTGTATATTGTCCAATTGATGCAGGGGCTGCGAAACGACAGCCATGTTCTCAGCATTCCGGGTATACCTGGCTTCTTCTCCTCCTCCGGCTCCTCGGGCTTAGGTTTGGGCGTCTTGCCCAGAATGACGAACTGTTCGGGCTTGTCCTCAACGCCGTCGAACAGGTCCTTGGCGACGCAGCAGCGCTGGTCGGCGGCGCAGACCCCGGGCAGGTCCAGCGCTGCCTCACAGTAAGCCGCCAGCCGCTTGGCCACGCACACGCCCGGACAGATGGCTGCGAGGGAGGGGCGACCGGTGGCCGTCAGCGGCAGTGCGTGATGATCAGTGACGGCCAGTGGTGATCAGCAAAGGTTTGTGACGATCAGTGACGGCCAGTGGTGATCAGCAAAGGTTTGTGATGATCAGTGACGGCCAGTGGTGATCAGCGAGGTGCGCGATGGTCAATGGCGGCCAGTGGTGATCAGCGAGGGCTCGTGATCAGTGACGGCCAGTGGTGATCAGCGAGGGTGCGTGATAGTCAGTGACAGCCAGTGGTGATCAGCGAATGTGCGTGATGGTCAGTGACGGCCAGTGGTGATTAGCGGGGGCTCGTGATGATCAGTGACGGCCAGTGGTGACTAGCGGGGGCTCGTGATGATCAGTGACGACCAGTGGTGATCAGCAAAAGTTCGTGATGATCAGCGACGGCCAGTGGTGATCAGCGAGAGTGGGGAGTATCTCTGCTGATAATTGACGGCGGGCACACCTATGATGTAACGAATAAAGCCGAATGTCTCTGCGGCTTGTCTCATAATCGTAGCGAAGTTCTCATCATGCAGGTCCCTGCACATCTATGGCACAACTTAAATAACATAATCCCAGCCTGTCCTGGGCACGCCATTCAATCTCTCGCTGCGAACGATATGAGTGTTGGACCGAATGCCGCGAACACTCACTGGTCCCCTGCTGCGCTCCGTACGGCTGCGGTCGCGGCAGACCGTCCACCAGCTCCGTCTCGTCCGTGTCCATCTTCTCAATCAATCGTCGGCGAAGTCGCCGTCGTGGTCTCGGGCGCGGGGGCCCGGGTTGTGGGCGTGGTTGTCGGCGCCGGCGTGGTGGTTGTGGCTGGTGTCGTAGGCACCTGGGGAAGGACCGGCCGCTGCTGATGGGTGTTTTTTTGGAGCGGATGGAAAGATGTTTTCTGATTCAAGGTGTTTTGATCTACGCCAAGTGACATGCATGCGGTAACGAGACACCTCGCGTTAGCAAAACACATTGTCTGGCCGGGACGTGTGCCGTAGACCATACAGGTCGTTAATCGTTTTATATGTGTGCACATCACTGGCTACATGCCTTTTCCGAGCTTTCTAGTTCTTTAAAGAGGATACGCTTAGTTGTAGCTACAAGTACACTAATTACGAATGGCGTGCTGGCTTACCAAGTGACAGTTTACATTTTTTTCACTTTTGTACTGACATGACACCGGCTGAACCGCTCAGTAGTCAAACGCTCTGTCTCCCCAAGCCGCAGCCGAGGGTGCTCAGAGACACCATCATGACAGCGCACCTCTCGCTTGGTGGTGGCGCTCTTGGTGGCGGTGAGGGCGGCTGGCGCAGGTGGCGCCACGGTCGCGGGCGCCGGCGCCTGCTGTCCGCCGGCCAGTACACAGCAGCGCATGGACGGCTGTGGGCACGGCTTGTCGTCCAGCACCTTCTCGCACATGAGCGCGGCCAGCGCGTGGTAGCAGCGGCCCGGGCACTGGCTGCCCTCCTCGGGCCGCGCCAGCGAGCTGAACAGGTCTGAGGACGGACAGTGCCAGCTGTGACACGGCAGGTCACGATGTGGAGCCCTGTCACCGGCCGTCACGCTGGCGAAATCGAAAGGCACAGAGCAGCACGTACAGACACAGGAATGCATGGTCTGAAGAGGTTTCGACGTGGAGAAGGTGAGATCGAGTAGTTTTCTATGAGCCTCGTGATAGTCGTGCCTTGCAGTTTTCGCTCAGAGAGGCAGAAGTGAACTAAGGTCTGAAGCTGCGAGTCGTCAAACTAAAAGCGCCGTGGATCAAGGCAACCTGAATGAATTGGGGAGAGCTGGAAAACGACACTATATGTTTTACGCCGGTAGAACTTTCATAAGGAATAACACAAACACTGTCTTCGGGTATGTTACGATACGCTACATTGCGCTTGGTTCTCCTATATAAGGCTCTCTAGAACCTAATACACAAAGAAGCCAACATAGAAACAACCACACTATAGTACATTAGAGATAGCACCACTTGTCTCATTTAATGCACTGGAAGATGGCGCGCTTCTGAGAGCATGACTCGCTCGCATACCTGAACACGTTCTGTTTTTTTTTCAGCGTATGCACGCTATGTGGGTATTTAAAGCATCTGTGTGCTATATCGCCGCACGCGCAGTCGGCCTTACCAAGTCACCCTGCGAGTCTTGGCCCGCTTGTCGGTAAAATATGCTATATCGCCGCACGCGCAGTCGGCCTTAGCAAGTCACCCTGCGAGTCTTGGTCCGCTTGTCGGTAAAATATGCTATATCGCCGCACGCGCAGTCGGCCTTAGCAAGTCACCCTGCGAGTCTTGGCCCGCTTGTCGGTATCATCGCTCAAATTCATGGTTTAATAGTATCGTCAGAGGTCATTCCCCCATGCATACGAGGAAACTCCGACGAGGAAAATTGCTGAATCGAGCCAAGTGCTATCAATTGGAAGGCTTAATCTTATGTTCTCTGTCAAGTGGTCAAATATTATATCGTTCCAGAATATCTGATACACCAGACACGTCCAAAAGGATTCAAGTTCAGGAATGCCTTGCGGCAATTGAAAGCGTCTAATTGCACATATCGCGGTCTGCATTGGAAAGTGCTTTCTGTTCCTAAATTCATGCTTCACAAAAGAAAACAGCGCCTGCCTTAGACCTCCCAACCAGCGAATTTTCACAGACGCGCTTTACATCACTCCCGTCACCGTGACGTCACGCCCGTGACAAGGCACGTCAGTCACAGACAGCAGTCACGACAGCGTCTTGTCAGCACTGGCGTGATCTGTCAGCATTGGGCTACATCACCGTGCGTCGTAAAACTGGGCTCCATTAACAGGCGAGAGCTGCAGTTCAAGGGTCGATGATATCTTTGTTAGCGAGGGGAGCATTAAAGCATCCGCGACTGCGGAGCACAAACAAGCAAAGCAGCTGCAAGTTACAGCAGAAGGGCATGCATTAGTTCGTCACAGTGCACAGAGAGACCGGGGTGGTTGTCCGCATTGTGCTTTGTTTGCATGTCCTGAATACCAAGAATCTCGTGCTGTGAACGGCCAGGGGGTGTACGACCGATGCTTCTGGTCCACAGAGGCAGTCCGGATTACTCCCCAGTATTTTGCACACTGCATAATTAAATTTCACAGCTTGTCTCACCATGAATGCTTGCATCGACATGGCTTTGTGTCCAACCGGTTTCGGAAGCCAAAACACCGCTTTTAGTACATCATATGTAGCTGGTGACCTTAAGGTAACTCCGGGATGTGTGGTTTCAGGGTAAGTCAACTACCTTGCCTGTTTACGGGAACTTCGGGATGATTCTGAGCATTGTGGGCAGGCTTGGAAAAACCGAGCCACAACAAGCAATCGGCATGTTTACATAAGCCTAACCATCCTGATGTCGGGTTGGGTTGTTCAGGAAGTGGTTCATTTGATGCTCTCACCGAGCCACAACAAGCAATCGGCATGTTTACATAAGCCTAACCAGCCTGATGTAGGGTTGGGTTGTTCAGGAAGTGGTTCATTTGATGCTCTCACCGAGCCACAACAAGCAATCGGCATGTTAACATAAGCCTAACCAGCCTGATGTTGGGTTGGATTGTTCAGGAAGTGGTTCATTTGATGCTCTCTGGTATTAGATCACACTAAAGCAAGGACGAGCTGGTCGATTTCAACCTGCCAGAGGCATATATTATAATTTTGTTATTATGAGACGTTAAGCACGCGTCTGTTTTTTATACCTTTTGCCAAACAAACATTGCTCGAACTCTGCGCTCTGGTTAACTCTGGCAAACTCTGGTTAATGCGTCTACGTTAACCACTGCGCGTGTGGGAACCAGAGTTACGAGGTTCGGTTCACCGCGGTGCCCGCCCTTCCTGCCAGGGTGGAAGGCGAGCGACGCCATAAAGCCTCAGCAGCTGAGTGCGTCGTAAAGCCCCCATGACATAAGCTCCGTGCGTAAGCTCTCCATTTCCATCAGGTTGGAGGTGGTTCACGCCTCACATGATGTGCAAGGCGACCATTCCAAAATAATTAGAATGCGAACTGATGCTGTAATTCTCCGACGAGCAAAATTTCACTTCCGTTGTGACCGTACGACGACGTCGACCACAGGGTGGTACGCAGCGGCTTCCGCGACTTGGGCGTCTGCTGACCCAGATCGCTTGACCGGGAGAACCGGAACCGGCGTGACTCACGGCGGGTCCGGCCGGCGCCGGCTCCGCCGCCGCCACGTGTGCCAACCGTCACCGCTGGCGGAACTAAGCGACCGTACGACACGACCCGCGCCCGTGTTGTAACGACCCAGCCGCCGGCACGACCGCTCTGCATTGATGGCAAACAGAGCAGCACCGCGCCGCCGCGTCGGTCGCGGTGCTGTCGCAACAACGAAAGTCGCCGACGCCTGTGCGCCGACACCGGACGCCGGTCACTGACGCGGCGAAAGGCACGCGCCTCGAAGCCTGACGGTGCGCTGGGCCGGAAGGGCCCGAGCGGCACCCTCCGGTCCCGCGGAAGGGCCCGAGCGGCACCCTCCGGTCCCGCGCGCCGATGTGGCGACTCAGCGCAAGTCACCACCCTTTCATCTCCCGGGACAGCCTGATGCAAAAATGCCGTACTGCTATACACTGCGTGTCGCATCGCTTCTATGAAATTTGCTTGCACATTTTTCGTTTTTTTTATTAAAAAGCTTCAACGTTTTTCACATACATGAAAACAAGGACCCAGGGGCTGGGCGACGCCATCTAAAATGACAATGTTTGTGAGGAACATTTGGCTTAGCATTGTTTGTCCATATCTGAGATGCCCTTATTTCCGCAAACTCATCTATTGTAAACTCACCGTTTGTAAACATTTCAAAACTTAACTCGGTTGGTCAGACTGACCATCTTCTACAAGCTGTAATTAAATCTTGCCAGGATTTTTGACTACCCGCACTCTGTTTTGACCACTGGTGCTTTGGAGTGTGCAATTTGAAGGGAGTGGAATGATGTGGGTGCTTTGGAAATTCTGGAGTGCAATGAGAGTGTCAGGGCCTGTTGTGGAAATGGAAAGAGAACGCGACCCAATCTGCGTCCACGTGGTCAGACATGGTCTTATCAATGTCTCAGGTTTACGATCAAGCATGCATTGGCTCACCGCGGAAAACGTAAGCAAATCCCAAATTCTGGAAAATTCATCCTTACCCCCATAAACGTTAACTGGGCGGGACGTGTTTACCATCTCCAAGTCACCAGCACATTTCCCACCGTGGCGTAGCCGCCCATGTGAAAGCTACGCTCCCACCGTCTCAACCACGAATATTGCTTCTTGGCGCAACCATGGAACTCAAGTCGGGAGACGCGAGATTTCGGCGCCCCGGCAACAGGAACCGTCACTGAACCAGAGCCATTACTGATGTGCCGTCTTGGATGACATATGCCGGCTTTCTGCTGGCATCAGAAAATTTTGATCTGCGCTGAACACATCAAAGTCCTGTACCACTGACAATGCCAGTGTCGGCGAACGCTGTCACATGCTAAGACAGTGTTCATGCATGTAGCCAGGTGATGGTACGGGGCCAACACCATGCTTTCATGTTTGCAACTCTTTTCAACATCCTCCGTTGCTTGGCCGCCTTTGTCTACGCCACCGCAGGACATTGCTGAAAAGCCATTACCTGCTGACCCAGATAACAGTCAGCAACCATTTCCGCTTCTATGGGTATGCAGGCTAACAGCCCTGACGCGCCATCTCAACTGGTTATTCTACATTGCAAAATCCCGGTGCGACTACATCTACCCGCTCCAGCTTCAGCGGCGCGATCCTGAAAACTCTACAGCTCCCCCGAGTACATCCTTGCAGCGTGTCACGTGAGAACGATTGGCGACCGTCGGAGACCGCAAGCGCGCACATACACGCATCGGCACTCCGGTCTCCTCATCGCCCCAGCCGCCTCCCCGCTGAACACGCCGGAAACGGTACATCGGTCGCCGCGCGCATGCTGATGCCGCCCCAGCAGCGGCGGCGGCAGCGGCGCGGAGGCGCCCGGCTGGCCCCGGTCAGAATCTGGGGCCGCAAGGTCGCCGCCGCGTCAAAAGGTCATCGACCTCGGCAGCGTGCCATTCATCTGGGGTGCGCGCAGGCGCCCGCCGCGTTGGCCGCCGCATATTTTACAGCGAACCGGTTGGCGGCGTGGCGCGGGCAGATCAGTGACCTCTGACACGGCTTTGACGTCTGGCCGGTGGGCGGCTCAGGCCGAGCAGGCACGAAGCGGCGGGGGGGGGGGGGGGGGCTCGCGGAATTCAGGCCAGTGTTCAGGGTGGCCTCGGGGCATGGAGATGCCGGTCACGAGTGCCTTGTTCTTTGGTAGGTCTGAGCTGCACACATATGTCTTTCAGCTATAGTCCCCGAACGCGGACTTTTTACAGTATATCAATATTCCAGATCGATGCATACAGACGATACTGATAATCTATATCCCATACCGATAAGCAGTTCCAGACGTACTCAGATGCGGGTGCATTGTTAACTTGGAGCGCTGTTGG